CATCTTCTTCATTTCACACATAGAAACTCGAAAAACTGAATCTTCAAGCCAACATGATCACTGACGAAGGAGTTCAATATCTTACTGATGCTTTGCAAAATAATAGCGTAAGATTGGATTGTCTCACTTAAAATTGATAATTTGCTTTTTTAAAAATTTCTTACAGACTCTAATGTATCTCTATTTACATTACAATGAGATCAGTAAAGCAGGCGCAAAATATCTCTCGCAACTTTTGGAGAAAAATGGAGTAAAACTTTCACCTTTCATGCTTATCGAATAGCTCTTGATTTCACAAATAGACACTCGTCGAACTAAATCTATGTGGAAATAGCATCGGTGATCAGGGAGCGAAGTATCTCGCCCAGGCGTTAGCAAAAAATGAGGTAAAACTCAATTTTTATAAATCTCAATAAGACCGGTCGATTTTCTCTTCTACATATAGACCCTTACCATGATTGATCTTGGCGCCAATGAAATCAGTGATGAAGGAGCAAAACATATAGCTAAATGTTTGCAAAACAACAAGGTAATACATTTCTCTTCTCATTAGCTCTATGATGAATCTCTTCGACATATCATACAGGTACTCGAGTCTATGAAACTCCATTGCAATGAAATCAGTGCACAAACATTTGAAGAAATAAAGCAAACCCTGGTGGCTAATGAAAACCTAACCATCACTGGGTGATCCTTACGAATACAAAAAAAGACTTTGAACAATAAACTCCGCATATCTCGCTTATAATACACTTTATACTTAGTATATATAAGAAAAACTTTCCCTTCCGCTATTTTGCAACATGCGTTCACTTGCCGTTAAAAATTAGAAATAAATTGCTCAATATTTAAACAATATATCGAAGCTACAATTGAAAGACAAACGGTGTATGAGTGTTGGTGTGGGTGAGTGTAGATTGTGTGTCAGTATTAGTGTAAAGAAGACTTTCATACCTATACTCACACCTACCCTCAGCCACAGTCACACTCAAATAAACTGGATAGCAGCTAATCATTCAGTCGAGAATCAAACGAGTCATGCTGACGAGCCGTACTTGTTACTATTGAGAGAGATATTCCACCCTAAGACAAAGGTGGACACTCTCTACATTAAATTTAGCAGTTAATATTTCGAGATCAAAAATCAAAAGTTAATCCTTCACTATGTTCCTGATGATGTGCACCAGACAGAGCACGAAAGCTTGAATGTAAACATTTTTCTGATGAAAAATTAATAAAAATAAAAATGATTTTCGCAGCAGTTATCTTATTTCTTTTCAATTATGAAGATCAATGAGTTGAACGGATGTTTTCTCTTCTGTTGGTACAGGATTAGACTCTCTTGTTGGTTTATTATCTCCTATATCTTGACAGCAAAATTCACAAGCGTCTATACAATGGATGCCTAACTTGTGAAGTGCCATGACAATAAGTCGAATCGAACGAATTAAAGTTGGTATAGCTGCACATACAGAGAAAATAAAAAGAAATGTATTGAAGTAATGCGCTATCAATAATGAAATAGGAATAATTAATTCAAGTATATTCTCGATTAGATTGAGGAATTGAACGATATCTAATGATACCTAAAGGCAAGTGTACTTTGCGTATTGTTGACTTTTTACTCCCATCCATGCCAGGTGGAAAAGTTTATAATGGAAATATTCACCATCTGATTTCAGCGACTGTGGTACCAATGCAGTTATCAACATACTAATAAGAGACACTGCTATCGTTACTGGTGCTACAATCATAATAGACAAAAAACAGGAAAAAGTTGTCACATCGGGTTGTGCTATTAACCCAGAGATTATGAACAATAGAAACGTATACTGAAGCCACGATTCACGTAAACACAATTTCACATACATAATGAGCAATCAAAATGCCAAAATCAACAGTTGATAAGGAGCAACTAGTACCATTTATATTTTTTGTAAAATATGTGTCTTGGCAACTACCAGAGGAGTGAACTAAATCGACTAGTAAAATTGTGGATGGAATAATACCCAGCAGTTGGACGATTACAGACAAATTATTGAACCAAATGAAAATATACTTCATTTTTTCAGTTGATACTGAAAACAGAGATCAGTCAGTAATATGTCTTTATTCAAACCGCTTTGCGCTGATTTTTGGCAATTTCATCTATAGAATCAAGTTTGGCTCGTTACTCGACTCACAAATGTACTACTTAAAATCAAATAAACTCCATTGTTTTCAAAAACAAATAGTCACAAGTTGGAAACATTTCTTGCCTGACATTTTCAACTTATGGGAAACAATAGCAACCATAGCCATTGCAAAAAAACATTATTCAATAATGGTTGCTCAGATGGAGAGAAAAATTGTAATTTCAATAAAAGCTGCCACTTCTAAAAACACAGACTTGGCTTTCACATAGGTAAGAAAAGGAGTCAATGTACTTATAAAAAGTGGAGAGCGTGGGTGTGCGTAGTAGGTGCTGGTATGCATGGAGATGGGTCTTATTTTATCTTAAGCCAGGGTGGGGTGTGGGTGTGGGTGTGGGTGTGGGTGTGGGTGTGGGTGTGGATGGGTGTGTTCTGCCATCATATCCACACCCACTTAAAGTTATACTAGATGTTATAATATGGGGATTAGATGCGCTCCGAGAGTATCCCCGGAAACTGCATTAAATGCTAGCATAGGAGATATAGGAGATATAGAGATATAGGAGATATAGAGATATGGAGGTACAGAGATGTAGGAGACATAGTAAACAGTGATTTATTTTTTATGACTAATTTTTTCGAGCAAGGGTCGGCAAGTTGAATCAATATATTTGAATGGATCGCTATTCAAAGTCAAGTACTATACAAAGATTATCTGCACTAGTTAATGAATATCTCCAATATCTCTATATCTCCTGTATCTCCATATCTCCTATATCTTCTTCCTCGATGTTTAATTGAGTTTCCGGGGAAACTCTCACAACGCATCATAGGAATATGTGTGGATTCATAGGCCCTCAACGTCTACTATATAGGAACACCTTTAGAATAGTCCTTAAGGACCTATTGATGCTCTTATATAATAGAACTTGAGGAACTATTGATACCCCTATATTAAGGGACTTGTGGACCTATGAGTATCTCATAGAATAGGTCTTGAGAACATGGCAGTCCCCCATAGCACACTAAAGAAGTCACAGATATCCAGCCTGGGATGTCCCTAACCAATCCTGAAGATAGTATGTATAGCTTTTCATGATGATCAACTCATGGAGCCGAACTATTTGGAATGATTAAGTTCGTTGAAAAGAACTGTTCAAATAGTTCAGTTTGTGGTAGTGAACGTTTTGAACAGCTCATTGGTTCTGAACTAGAGCTGAACTTGTCTAGACAGGTGAGTCATCATAGCATGTGTAGACATCAAAATTATTCTAGCAAGTTCTTCCTGTTAAAACCTGATTTCTATTGGTTACTGCTCAACCAATAGGATTTCAAGACAAGTAGAGCTCAGATTCGAATTCTCCGCCTCAGAAAACTTCAAAGTATCATCTCTGTGATTGAAAAATGAAGCTTTAATTTTCGATCAATTAGAACGTGGACAAAAACAGAACCAATTTTCATTCAAGTGTCTTTGTAATAGATGACTTAGTCTTCTTGTTTCCTAATGTTTTATATACCATTTTGTAGCTCGTGAAATTCTCTATCGAATAGTGTATAATAGCATGGGGTTTTGTTTGATTATGAGAGGAAAAGTTCTTTTATGAAAACCGAGATAGGTCAATAATCGCATAGAAAAGCATAGGGAAAAATGACTTTTTTTGCGATAACTCAGTAATGGCTCGACGAATTCTTCTCATCTTCGAACTCGACCGAGACATTGATTAGACGATACTGTGTACACAATTTCATCAAGATCACACCCTCCTTTCAAAAGTTATTGTGTAAACGACCGGGTACACTGACCGATTCTAGAGTGTAGTCACTTTTTGAGCGTGTACACGATTTACTGTCCGCGGATTTACTGTCCATTAATTGCTTCGAAGAAGAGATATTAATAAATGAGTAATGGTCATGACAAGCAATCCATTTTCTGAACAAAAAATTACATAAATGTTGAAAAACAAAAAAGTCACCAATGAGCGAACTATTGAATAAATTTTCAATTTAAAATGAGGGATGCTCATCAAATTGTGGGGGTAAAATAGTCATTAATATGACAAAAATTTATAAAAAATATATATAAATTCAAAGAATATAATTTTCTTATCATACTCTTCCTAAAAATGTCTGCTATATTTACTGAATCTACCCATGGTAAACGACAATTATGCTACCTCGGTTATCGATATTCTTTGAAACGTAAGAATCAAAATGGTTCGGAATATTGGATATGTGTTAAATGTCAAACAACAGCTACAAGTTACTTAGATTTATCAGTAATTGTTCGTGAAGATCATATACATCTACCTGACGAAACTGATAAAGAAGTATTAGAAATGCGACAAAATTTAAAACGAAAAGCTATCGAAGAATCTACTCCTATTGATCGTATAGTTGAAGAAGCATTTCATGCAATTAATAGCCAATCTCAATCTAAT